AGACTTTAGCCTGATCTCTGAGGTTGATTTTTTTTCAAAATTGCCTGAATTTTTTTTGAGTTATAGCCAATAAAACAAAAGAACAAGTTCCCATTTTGAAAAATGACAAGCACAAAACTATATGCCTCAACTTATTTTGCTTGGTCTTTTCTTCTGTCCTTTCCTCTTCCATATCTTCTTCATTCCCTTCTTCTATCCCACTGCTACAATGTGAAAGCCGTGCTGAAAGGATGAAAGGCTTGTTTTGTGTCAGTCAAGAACAGCTTCTGGGAGCCATGGGCATGGTATTCCCTTGGTTAATTGCGTAGCCCTTACCCCTTATGGGCTATCCACATGTCATAAATCTGTCAGATGGCTGGGTACCCAGCCATGTTGGAATCCCTGGCAGTGAACAGGCAGATACTCTTGCATGCTATGCCGCAATGTCCACATCACCTCAACTACGCTTCTCACATATTCCAGCTACGGATTATTACCCCTACTTTAAAACCTTCTTGTATACCCGATGCCAATCTTTCTGGTCAAGCCTCCACAAAAATAAAACCATCAATCTCTTGGTCAGCTCCATTTCCACAGGAACAGACTTTGGGAGACGGCCCTCGCACGCTTATGTATTGGCCACACTCGCCTATTACACGTCTATCTAATGTCACGCTCAGACCTGTCCCTATGTCCTCTATGTAATATCCCTCTTTCAGTTCCACACATTCTCTTGTCCTGTCCACGCTTTAATACAGCACGTACCTCCTATCCTCCCTTCACCGACATCCCAACATATCAGACATCCTTACAGAATCCCACAGCTTCTGCCTGGACAACCTATTCTCCTTCTTCAGATGCATAAATATCCTTCACTTGATCTAACTCCCTTACCTAAACCACCATAACCCTTTCCTTCATCAACTCCCTACCCATCTTCAACCTTTCAACATTACTCTAGATAGTTGATGCATAGCAACTATCACCTGACATCCCCCTTTTCTATACCTTCCTATAGTGCTATATGACCTTAGATGTCTAGTTAAATTTGATAGTGCTATAGATTCAGTTTCTGATCTGACTGTTACAAGACGGGAGCGATCGCGTCTGGTATAGAAAGGGACTCTGCCTACTTGTTTTGGAGGCATTGTTGAAAGAGAAGAGTGTTGCCTGAGTAAGGAGCTGTAGCAGGGATCACGAAAAATCGGTCCCATTTAGCTGGGCTAAACAGAGTATTTCAGATATCTGCAGGGTTGGTGGTGGTGGATGGTCGGGGACGTGTGGAAGAGGGAGTATTACGGAATGATGGAGAATAAGGCTGCAAGGTAGTAATAAGGGAGGATTGGTTGCTTGATGAAGGTTGCGGGGGTAGAGTTGATGAATTTGAGGAAGTTGGGTGGGTAGGAATGTCTTCTGGAGACTGATTTTCTGCTTGGGTGGGTAATGCACTAGTAGGCATTGAGGAGTGGGTAGTAGTTTCAGTGTTCGGAGTCGTGGTCAAAGGAGAGCCTGGGGTGGGGCTATTTGATAAAGGGGCAAGCCTCATTGCCTCTAATAAAGGGATTACATCTTTATTACTGGTCATAGGGAACCTTGATTATATAAAATGGCACAAACGGCCCACCCTCTTTCACTAAAAGGTAAGGGCTAGACAATTAAATCGGGAGTACCGTAAGGTCAGCCTTTCATCCTTTCAGCACGGCTCTTACATCTTAGGAAATAGATAGTAGAAGGGGTTGGAGAAGGGACGGAGACAAAAAAATGGAGGGGGAAAAGACCATGCAAAATTAGTTGAGTCGAGGGCTGAGACAGATGACTTAATTTTTGTTTTGTAAGTAAATAAATTTTGCGTTGACGATTTTTAGAACACCATAAAAAGACTTTTTCATATGTCGCTTTTATAAGAAAAATGCAAAAACAAAATGGAACAAGCACTAGATTTATCATTCAGCTATGAAATGAGCCATAAAACTTTTATTTCGGACTAAAATTGTGTGCGCGACAGCTTTTGAAGACTACAAAGGGTCGCACTTGAGTTGGGGGTTTCTCGGCGTAAAATGGCCATTTTAAAAATCTCTAAAAATGATAAAAATAAATAAATAGAAAAAAAATCTGATTTCATATCTGAATAGAACAATCTTTCATCTATTGCATGGTGGATGTACATTTTTCAAATTCGACCTTTTTATGTGAATATTTTACGTAGGCGACTTTTTGAAAACCATAAAAGGGGCCATTTTCTTTATGTCACTTTTACAAGATATACATGAAAATATCGTAAATTCTTATTGCATCATGCAATAGATCTATTCAGCTACAAAATAAGCCATAATTCGTTAATATCGGACTGAAAATGATTGTGCTGCGCGTAAAAGTGTAGAGTACAGAAATATCGCGATTTTTTTCTTTTTACATTATTGATAACAAATCATATATGGAATAGTTGTATATAATATAACCATCTATTATTTCCCTTTATCATTGTAAATGTGGTTTTACAACATATTACTGGTCTGAAATATGATCGTTCTTCATGCCAGCGAATATCACACTCGCAGGCCGGACCGCGCCGGAAGGGGTCACGCGCACGAGGGTCCCAGGCCCTGTAACTCTACGGGATGGAACACACCTTTCACAGCAACACCCGTGAAATACTGATATACAATTACAGGGTGGTGTAAAACTATGTATATATCATACATATGTATATAAAGATCATCTCCGTGTATTCCATGACCTTATGTGTATATATATTGTTACTTCCATTTGTTGGTTGGTTGGTTGTGTCCTTGTTTCTTGATGTTTGTAGGATAATTCAAAAATGAGATTTTTACCAGAGGTGTATCTTAGCCCAGCTTAGAAGCCATGACCCTGTGGTGGTGATCTGGATCATGATTTGGATGCAGGATGTTTTTTCTAACTCTAAAAGTTATGGACAGATTTTAATGAAACTTTTATCTGAGATTCCATAAAATTTTGGTGGTGATCAGGATCATTTAGCAAAAACATTTTGTTCAAGAATAAAACTGACAAAATATAATCAAAACATAAAGAAACGAAAATAGTCCATATAAATGATATATCATTTTTATATATATCTGTATACAAAAAATCTGTTATTGTTTCTGAAAGCTTCCCAGATTTTTTAGATAATTCCAAAAAACAAATATAGGTCTCATATTATGTGAAATTTTATAAGCTTTCAGAAAATAATATCACTTTTTTATTATATCTAATAGTTACATCACAATTCCCGTTTTCTAAGGTAAAGTGAAAAATCATCATATTTCGGTGGGCATTGAAAGTGGCTGCTACCACTTGAAAAATAGCAGGTGGGCCTTGAAACTTTCAGGGGCAATTCAGAAGCCCTGGAACTCCTTGGAAATGCAATTAAATCAAATTGGACAAGAAGGGAGTTATTTGCCAAAAATGATGGTCCCATTAAGCTGTGTATAGCTGGCCCACCCGTCATGATGTATATTTATCTTATAGGCCATTATGTCATGATGGCTAGAGCCATACCTGTCACTATAAGGTTAATAACTATCTAAAGAGTAAAGCTAATTATACATAACAAGGTAAAATGAAATAAGGAGGCTTTTTTCTTTTCTTGTAACAACAGATTTACAGTATTTTCAATAATTATATGCCAGAGTAAAATTAAAACCTCTTAAAATGCACTTTCACCCTGGTTCAACATAACAATAAGTCAATCTTGTATTTACCATGTGAAACTGTTCTACATACTAGTATCACTTTGATGGGGATTTGAGCTGGAATCACATGGTTGAAATACAAACACACAACACACACTTGGATAGCATAAATATACAAAAAGACAGTCAAGTATAACCAAAAAGGCGTTGGTTTCTGAGAACTATCAGTGACTGAAGGCACTACATTACCACGTGAATATTAGAGTAGTTCAAATGCCCAAGCTGTTTAAAGGTTTGTTTTATATTATAGAAAATACCTGCTAGTTCTCTTGGACAACTGAAGAAGGCCATCTCAACTACCAGCCAGAGCCATAGTGTTCGTAACAGTTTGCAAGTCCATTACTTTCAAAGTTAAACAATACTCTTCATGCCTCTTATTGCTTGTTGCTAGGAGCAAAGGAAACATTAAAGACACATATACAGACATAAGGGGAAAGGGAAGGGGGAGAGGGGAATGGGAGGGTGAAGGGAAAGGGGAGGGTGAGGGTAAGGGGAATGGAGGGGAAAGGGGAAGGGAAGGGAAGGGGAAGGAGTAGGGAAAGGGAAAAGGAAAGGGGGGGGGAGAAAAAAAAGTGACTGCACATACACAGGAGCAGCCTTGAGTCAAGGAATTATTACATGGAAATAGTTAACACGGGTCATGCAATGCTGTATTTGTATTCAGAACCCTAGTAAGCTTGATAATTTCCCATGGAACTTTTAGAATGACAATCTTTACTATTCCTAACTAAAATGGCACAGAAATCACTTAACAAAACAGAAAAAATGCAAGCAAGAAGAAGACACACATAAATAAGCATGTAAGTACAAATTAAAAGATCTTTTGACATCTGCTATATGCTCTCAAAAAATCCATATATCTCCATAGCTGTTTACATGGCTGGAGATTATACTTTATGCTTCATATATAATGGTCAGTTAATTTATTTGATAATAAAAAAGATAAACATAAGTTTGACAGGATAAGTTTTAGTATAATAAAATTTTTGTTTTAAATAAGTATAAAACTTTAGTTCTGATTAGAATATACCTGAGTATTGGTGCATTTGTATGGAATGTTATCTTAAAGTTTAACCACTAAGTAGACTCTGGAATGTTTCTTGATCATTAACAAATATTCTCAATTCCTACTGAGGCAGAATCCTCACACAAGGAAGTGTTTACCCAACATGTACATAATGAGCTACATATACATGCACACATGCACGCACATGTACACATGTGCATGGACACATACATGCAAATACACACCAACACACGCAACACAACGCGCCACACACACCGCACACAAACACACACCACACA